GATCCTGGAAGACCGTATGGCTAAACTGAGTCAACAAAGTATAACAGAGGCCAAGAGGTTAACACAGGACAATCTATATAGCTGGTATACATGTTTGCAGAAGAGAGAATGGTGTATTCAAGGAACTACACATATTTTTGTATGATAGAGCATAGAGTTCAAAAGGAGGCAGAGCATGAGAAGTCTGAAATCAGATCATGAAAACTCTGTGTACTGAGTCCTTGAGAGGAGGAATTTTAATCGAGAAAGTTTCTGAAAATGATGGTAGTGGTGACAGAGTTAGGAGTCTTGGGAAACCTCACCTGCATGTCTCTAAACCTGCCAGCTTCATGCTGTCACCATGATTTTAAACTTCAAGGCTAAGTCCACATTCCTTCATGCTCCCCACTTCTCTGCCTATCCTCAAACATACGCAATACATCTTAGGAGTTCTGTGGTTCTTCCAATCACTTTTTGCTGTGTTTAATGGATTCTTGTCCTTCACTTCCTGCAACTGGTCTTTTTTCTTATCCCTACTCTAATCCGTGCATAGATCACAGCCCTTTTTCCTCCACATACTCAAATCCCATTCATACAAGTTGATTTTTACTGATGGTTTGAAGAGGGCTATGGGGCAATTAAATATTAGGTGGGCCCATTCTTACAATTCTCTTGTTAAATCCACTACAGGAAATTTCTTGTAAACCAGCTTTTCCAAAACCACAGGCTGCTTGCCCTGTTATTCCCTCCAGCTTGCTCCCCATTCCCCACAACTTGTCCTCATAACCTGCACTGTTTCTTCTATTTCTCCTGTTTCTGGGCTCTCTTATTCTTACTTGATCCCACTTTCTCTCTCTCTCTCTCTCTCTCTCTCTCTCTCTCTCTCTCTCACACACACACACACACACACACACACATACACACACACGTGCACACACTCAAATGTGTCAGAATTCTCCCTTTATATTATATAAAGCATCCTGGCCTTTGCTCTCTCTGCCCCTCTCTTGCCTGGAGCCCACCTGTGTATTATAACTATGCCCCATGGTCTTCTCCCTTAACACTCAGGTTGTCATCCAGGTATTTCTTTTTAGTAAATAAAGCGCTCTTCCTAATAATATAAAGAACTTTATAGCCACAGTCTTTACAATATTATTTATTTTCCTCACATTTCATTTCCCTAATTAAGGAATTTTAAAAGCACTAAGGGTGATTCTCAACCATTTTTTTGGGTACATGGACTCCTTTTTAAATAGAAAAAGAATTTCAATCCCTCACATAATAGTATCCTCAGTTTTATATTCAATGATTAGAAAATATAGAATAGCAGAAAGATATTATGCACTCACTAGCACTTGGAATTAAAAAAATACTTTGTCACACTGACATACGTTTGAAATTTTGATGTGAAAATATGTATGTTACTATTTTTTCCAGTAATCATTGATGGGATGAGGATCCCTCTTAATGACTTTGTTAATTTTCAAATGTCCCTAACTCACCCGGGCTCACACATTGAGACTCTCCATTCTAAAAAATATCAGGGAAAATGGCTGCTGGTTTGGTCTTCAAGTTCACCCCTTCCTATCTATTGAAAACCCCCATACAAACATGGAAAGAGATATGAAAGCCAGATATACCCATCAGTGAGTTTAGGACTCAACCCTAAATGAAATGCAAACGTGGGCCTAACCTGTAATAGGGCAGTAAAATTCTAGCTGTCCACAGATTCTCACTGTGCATCTCTGAGAGAATTTTCACCAACCAGAGAAAGGAAAGACATCACGAACCCCTGGAGCTGCTTTTTCAGAGAGTCAGAGGTTTTTGCTCCACACACCAACTCTCCCCATCCTATCCTGTCATCTTTACTCTCTTCCAAATCTCTCAAGGGCTACAATTTCCAGCATTTCAGAAACTCTGGGCTTGGTAGGAACTCATAGCAAACTGAAATATGAAATCAGCTTTAAGAACAGGCAAAGTCTAGACAAGATAAGCCACTGGAATGTTACACTCTGGAAGCTGTAGTTTTGTATGTACTGTTTTGTTTAATTGGAATATAGTTGATGTGCAATGGTCTGTAGGTGTGTATGTAGTGCTTTTGGCAATCAGAGAACTACAGACTGCTTTAAATAACACAGGACTGATAGCCCTTATTCATAGTCAGGGGACCGAAAAATGGAAGCACAACAATTCCTTTCTCAGCGGAGCACCAGAAAAGTAACTTCCAGACATCAGAATTTTGGCCAGCAGCTGTGCACATCAATTGCTCCTTCAGGGCTAATATGAGGAGTTTCCGACTGTAAGCGAGTGGCTAGAGTAAGGAGTGGCAGACACTGAAAACACAGCAGCTATTCCAACTTCCTTCTGATTTTCTGCCTTTTCTATCCAGGGAAACAAAAGATTCAGACACACTTCTCAGACTCATTCGCAACAGATGTTTGACCACGAGACTGACTGGTTCAGGGCAATGAGACATTATGGCAGGTTTTTGTAGGAGAAGAAAAGAAAGTTTCCTCCACCCTTTTAGGGTCCCTGGCTAGGTCTTAAAATTAAGCTAACAAAGGCAGGTTAATGGGAGAGAAGCATTCAAATTTATTTAATGTAAGTTTCCTTAACATGGGAGCCTTCATAAGGAAATGAAGACCCAAAGAAATGGTTAAACCTGAGTATCTTTTATGCTAGGCTTGGTGAGAAATGGACAGTCATGGAGCAGTGTGACAGGCTAAGTAGTATAAAGTCAGTGTAGTAAACTAGGGGAAACTTAGCAGGCCTGTTCATTCTTGGTATCCCTTTGTCTTTGGAGATGAGAATGGTCTTCACCTCTGGGTATAGGGGAGGCTCCTCCTGCAGGAGGGTTGTTTGACTTGCTTCAGGGAGAAGGGCAGAGGGAGATGGCCAGAGGGACCCTCCCACTTCTGCCATTTTCTCTAACTCCTAAGGCTTAAAATATTCAATATGCTGAGGTACCATATTTTGGGGTGGCATGTCCTGAACCCCATCATCTTCCCGGGTGCCTCTGGAAAGTTCCCTCCCTGATAAAAGGAAAAGGGCCTAGCCCTAAGCCTTCTTTCATTGTCCCTTGATATGGATCTGGTTGTGAGAGAATTTTGTGCCTGGAGCTATGACAGCCACCGTGCACATATGGTGACAAGCCAGGGACAAAAGCCAGCCTTCTGAGAAGGTGGGAACAGAAGGCCGGAGAGAGTGTGAGTCCTTGGCGACACCAAACTCCACTTGGTCTGCTCACTAATTAAACAACAAATGTCGTGGGATTTTCAGCCCTTGACTTCCAGGTTTTTGGTTTCTTGCCGTCAAAAATTCCTCACTGATCTGGGTGCTCGTAAAGAGAAGGCAGCAAATCTGGCTATTGGCAAGTACAAGTCTACTTTGACTGCAAAAGCAAAGCATACATTTTAAGATTTCTTTTTACAGGAAACAAACACATTTGAGAAAGCATCTGATTTCTGTTCCTCATAATTTTTTTTTAAAAATGGACTCTAAAATAAGAGATGTAGGATGACCTATGAGGATAAGGTACACCAAAGTAAAAACCAAAGTAAAAGTGGAACCAGCTGAGAATGAAGATGTAGACGGACTGTTACAGACAGAGGAGACTAAGACCTCAGGAGTGGAACAATTATTTGAAATCTGTGATGTGGAGAATAAGGTACACAAGCCATTCTGGGTTGCACATAAAAAGTACAAGAAAAAATGAGAGAGGAAGTGACAACATACAAGTAACCAATAAACAATTGTTTCCTAACAAAAGGAGGGAAACTCCAAATACTACAAGAAATCTTTTCTGAGAAGAACGCAACTACTAACAGAAAATTTTAGAAGAAACAAGCACCCAGACTTATCCTGGTGGAAAGTTTAGAATTAAAGGAGGGAAGGAAGGAAGGAAAGGAAGAAAAGAATGAAAAGTCATACGTGTTGTAGGGCAGAATAAACAGGATGCGGGGAAATGTCAATAAGCAAATATAAAGGGTGTCTCCTCTCTATACCTCCCTACTCCATAGTGATTGGAGAATAGTAACTGCAGGAAAGTGTGTCTGTGAAAGTACTACTAAAACAAACCTGGGGTTGGAAAAATTAAAAAGAAAGAAAGCAAAGTTCTTATCTTTTTGTTCTAGAAAGAGCAAACAATTGTAGGCAGAGGGAGATGCCAAATTTTCTGTTGGTCTGAGTTTCATTGTAAGAACAGAATTAGAGGGCAAGGGAGGGGGGATAGTGGTTAGATAAAGCCTGGGGCCCAGTGTTTATCACCACAGGGCGTACCACACGTGGTCCAGGTCCCAGAGGCCACATCTGGGACCTCTGACAGCTGTTGGAAACAACACACCTCAACCCTCCATGGGACGTGCCCTCTGGGTGTGAGGGAGCCTCTGGTTGAGCCGAAAGACCATGGATGAAAAAGCAAGAGAGAGATTAGTGCTAACCAAAGAAGGGGGGTCTGGAAAGGTTTCATAGAGGAGGTGATATTTGAGCTGGATCATCACAGATGAACTGGGTTTCTCAAGGCTCTGAAGGAAGGGGAAGAACAGGCTGTGGGGACGAGCAGCTTCAAGACAAGCACAAGTCTGGGAAGGAGCCTGGTAGGCAGTGGTCCATGCAAGTGTTATGGATGGGCTGACAATGGGTGCCTGGAGATTGCTGGGAGACCTGAAAACCTGGCCTACTGTCAGGGGACTGCTGAACACTGAGTCTGAATGACTGGAAAACAAGTCCGAGCATGGGGCTGATGTTTAATCAAATATAAATATACAGTGACGATGAAACACTTCATGCTCTCTGCAAGGGTGCTATATTAACCGGCTAAGAAGAGTGCTGAAAGCGCTGTAGAAATCCTAATACTCTGCTATTCAAATGCTAAGCACTTAAGTAAATACGCAGTTCTAAATGCTAACCACCACCTAAGACTAGATATTAACCTTAGTCCGTTGACAAAACTGGGGAGGAGAGGACCAAGGATCAGTATTCTGGAGTCTTATTATCATTCATTTCTTCAGTCACTCAGCAAACCCCTGCTGAGTATTTATCTTGTGCCAAAGACTAGAGATGAGAATACAGACGGAAGTAAAGCAGAGTTCTTGCCTTCAAGGGCTTTCAGTCTGAGAGGGGGAGACCAGTGGGTAAGTAAACAGTGAGGGGCCCTGAAACACACGTGCTGGGCACAGCAGGAGCACAGGCCTCGAGGTGGGCAGCACCAGAAGGCAAAGCAGCCTGGGCTTCATGGGGAGGTGGCACACGAAATGCCTCTTGAGAGACAGGTTAGGTATTCAGGGAGAAGGAGCAGAGAAAGGGCGACCCCCAAGTGCCAGGCCATTCTGCAGCCACTGCAAATTTTCCTCCAGCCAAACATGAAAGTAAGAGGGTTTTTAAATTTGCGAAGCATTCACAGTGGATCGAGCTGTATAATTACCTGGCAGCCTGCCGCACAAACCTGTGTGCGCACGCTTTTCAGTCTGTTGTCGGAGACTGTCTGCCAGCGGGTGTGTACTGTGTGTCCATTGTGTACAGACGCTGTAATAGGCATATGGGGAAGAAAGGAAAGGGGAAAGCAGGCAGAAACTCAAATATTGTGAAAAACCAAGTGTTTTGTGTGCGTGCTGGTTACAGTTGTGGCTGCATCTGAGTCACCGTGTGCGCTGACAATGAAGCTATTGTTCCGGCCTGGCTGCAGGCCCGGAGCTGGTGTGGGCTGCCTGCCCTTTGTGCACTCCATGTGGGTCTCCGCGCTCATTTGCATAAAGCCTTTCAATTGGGATCACATCTTCTATATGGGTGTCCTTTATTACCTTATTGGAGAATTAGTGCCTCAGAAAACTCTGCTGGTCTAGAAAAGCAGCAAGACAGAGAAGTAGGCCTGACCCACCAGCCTGTGGGGGCCAGTTGCCAGTCTCCATAGTTCCCACTTCTGTGGTGTCCACAAAAGGCTGAGAATTCCTCGCAGCCCTGTTGGGGAACATGCGTGTAAAGGAAGCAAGGCCCCAAGCAAAACGGCTGGAATGCTGAATGAACTTCATCATGAACAAATGATAAGTACAGACTGTTTGACTTCGGGCAGGCTTGGCTGTTTTCTTAAAAGGCGCTAATTATGATTCCTCACCTTACCCTCTCCTTTAGCACCGGCTGCTCCTTTCTCTTCAGTCTCCCCAGCTGCCCCAGATTCTCCCTTCCGGGTCTAAGCAAACAGAAACCCCACCTCCCTGCCCCATCCCATCTCTTTCCTCCTGTTCACAGCCAGATTTCTTGGAAAAATTACCTCTACTTTCTGGCATCCATAGGATAACATCTTGCTTCCATCATCAACCAAAAAGTGTATACAGGAAGAAGCCTATTGCTTCTGTCTCTCTTCAGTGATTTTATGTGGTAAAATAGCACCAGGAAAATTTCCTGTGGCGGAAGTCCTAAGGTGTCACAGGGCTGCACTGGTGGACCCATTAAGGACTACCAGCCTTCCACACTGAATTAGAATTCATATTCCAATGGGCAGCTGGACAATCACAGTAGAATTTCAGTGGCAGTAAGTAGCAGTAGCGAGAAGGGTGGGGAGCTAGTTTGGGGGCAGTAGCCCTTAAAGCATATAATGGAGAAGATAAACCCCTCAAATAAAATTGACAATTAAAGCTGTAGTTTAATTCTGTAGCATATGACTCATGTTGGTATGAGAAGAGGGTCATGGATTGTCTGAGTGTAACTATTTAAGCTTTTAAAGGCCAATACCACAGATAGATAGGTAATGTTGTGATATACAAAATTTTTAAACACTTGTAAAATTTTATAGAAATAATTTTTTTCCTAGTTAATGTGGACATAACTTTATTATGTCTCTGGAGAAGTACACTCAGTGCTAGTTGCTGGGTCTCAAGAGGGCCATTGTCAAGCTGGGACAGTTTCCAGACTTTTTTGCACACATCCCAGTTTGTCAGTGTCCTATGACCCCTGACTCAAATTAAGAAGATGAAGCTAAGTCCAGAGCATAGAAGACAAAACCGGATCCCTCTTCTGTCAGGAGAGATTCCTGCAGGCTACAAGAAGCTGGCTTTGCAACTTGCCCTGTCCCTTACCCCCACTCCCACTTTATTCAGCACCTCAGACTCTCTAAAGTAGAATTACAGAGCATCAGAGGAAGGGGCTCTGTATTTCAAGAGATCTTCCTTTTTGTAGGGAAGCACTCTTTCCCATGAAACAAAGGGAGAAAATGAGGACTGGGAAGGAAAGGAATGCGGCAAGGACAATCTGTCGCTATTCAAGCAATTCTGGTATTTATTCCCCCATGTCTTTGACTCTGGATCCCCATGCTACCCTTTGTCACTCTAAGCCCCCTCCTGGGGTGCCTCTCTCAATCTGCCTCCCTAGAGAAAAAGTGTTTCATTCCCCAAAATCACTTCTCCAATTTGAATCTCAGAGACCAATTGCCAAAACACACATGCCAGTCAATGTCACATGCTATGTCAAACATAGATAAAATGAACAATGACGAGTAGAGGTATGAAGATATATATAAGTGGAGGTGTGAAGAGTTTGACCTAATTCTCCCTGGAATAGAGGAATTTGTTGTTAAGGACTTTAAGATCACATGAGAATAAAAGAATATGTGGAAATTGAGGACATGAAGGAAACTACAACCATGTAAAGTCATTTTGCAAGTAAAAAGTAAAACAGTACATAATAAGTAATAGATAATAGAGATATCAACAAAATGTTAAGTTTCTTGGGGGGCAAGGACTACATCTGTTTTATTTCATTGCTGCATATAACTCCCAGAACCTAGGAAAACATCTGCAGTGTAATAGTGCTAAATATTTGTGTTGTGATTAACTAGATAAATCGCCAGTTTAATTTCAGTGTTAGAGCTTGTGTTTGCAATGCTCAGAAATTAGTTTTACTTTATTGTGGATTCCTACATATTTATTTTCTCCTTCATGTCAATATTCAATCCTTTGTTTATTTATTATGAAGTCTCCTATTTCATAGGGCCCTGGAGATGTAAAATAGATTGGATATTTATGTTGGGAAGAAACTTAAGTCACTTTTGTTTGATGTGCTCCTTTCACCAGATCTAAAGAGCACTTTTTAACCAGAATCCTTACCCCAACAATGGCAGGGTTAAATGGCCTGAGCTCAGCCTGGGATAATTGTGTGTCCACACACTTTTCTAGTCCATTTTGCACACATCCCATTTAAATACTGAACACATGCTGCTGAATCCCAAATCCATATCTCTAGCCTTGACTTACCTCTTTAACTCCAAATCTGTATGTTTAATCCAAGTCAACATTTTTATCCAGATGTCTTTCAGGTAAAGCAAATAAAACATTCCACTAAGTCTAAAATGGAATTTCTAATTTCCACTCCTCCTTTCCTGCCACCCAGAACCAGTTCTCTTCCCCACCTTCCCCAGATCAGCATAGTGCACTGTGTAATATAAGCTTCTATACAGGGTACTGGAGATTGTAAAATCATCCAACTGACTGCTCAAACCATGGAGCCATCTTGGGTTCTGACCCACATCCTTACCTTTCAAGCTTCAATTCATGAGCAAGTATAATCAGGTTTGCCTCCAGATTAACTCTTTACTCTGCTTGTCTCCATTTCTACTTTTAACACCCAAGTCTAAGCTACCATCATTTCTTGTCAAGACTAAGACAACTAGTCTCCTCCCTGGTATCAGTCTTGTTCCTTGAAGAGCTAGTCTGCACATAGCAGCAAGAAGCTCAGGGCCAGTGCCTTCCATACTGTTCAGTGGGCGGTGACTATACAAGGAACCCAATAAAAAGTTGTCATTGTGACCTGCAAGGCCCTATATGAAGTGTCCCCTCTGTCCCTACCCAGACTTGCTGGACGCCCTCTCCCACTTGTCTCCCCATGCATGATGTACTGGCTGCCTGACAGTTCTTAAATATGGCAAGAACTTTCCTGTCCTCAGGTCTTGTAAACTGCTATTTCCTGTGCTTGCAATATGCTTCCCTCACCTACTTCTTGTTTTGTTTTGTTTCCGTTTTGACAGGCTACAAACATATAACAAACACCTGCATACATACCACCAAAAGTTAATGACTATTAACATTTTGCCATTTTAATTCAAGTTTCAACTTTAAAATAATAAAACAGTATCCTTTTGCTCTTGTGCCCTATGTTCTGTTCCCCTTCCTCCTTACTTAGAGCAAGTAATGGCTTTGTAGGTTCCCTACCTGCATCCATTTCTCCCTTCCTTCTTTCTGACACAACCTGGGCTGCGTTAAGTCACACCCCCTCCCCAACACCTGCCTGGGCGTCAGCAAATCCAGCTGTGCCCCAGTGGTGGCCAAGGAGCCCTGAGGACAGGCTTCCTGGAGGTTATGCTTCAATTTCCCCCAGGTTACATGGCGGAAAGGCTGTGGCACTTCCTGGGGCTCCTGGCCTCTTTGTCCTGCCCTCAAGGGCTTGCCTTTACAGACCTGCAGAGGGACCACAAGAACCGGGCTGTCTGAATTTTTAGCCAATGCCAAAGCAGGAACGAAGCGGTGTTCTTGTTTATTCAAGCGTGCTTATCTTGCTAGCTGTCTGCTGCAAATTAAAAACAACGTCACAAGCAGAAGGAAATGACTGCCTCCTCTCTCCTCCCAAAAATGAGAGAAAAAGAATTTCCCCCTCTATATCTAGCCATGTTTTTGTTAGTGTAGTATTTGACTGTACTTAGGTGTGTTTATGCTCAGTGCTCTAAGGACACTAAAACTTACACCAAGTTAAGTCTCCATGAAGACGTGAAGTGTTTAACAGCTCAGAAGTGACCTCAGTGTGTCTCCTCTCTGCTTGCAGGTTGCGGCGTGCTTGCTGCCCTGTCGTCTGTCACTGCTGCTGTCAGTGGCCTCCTGGTGGGTTATGAACTTGGGCTCATCTCTGGGGCTCTTCTGCAGATGAGAACCGTATTAGCTCTGACCTGCCACGAGCAGGAAATGGTTGTGAGCTCCCTCCTCATTGGGGCCTTACTCGCCTCTCTCACGGGAGGGGTCCTGATTGACAGGTATGGAAGGAGGGCCACCATCATCCTGTCATCCTGCCTACTTGGACTCGGAAGCGTAGTCGTGATACTCAGTTTATCTTACCCGGTTCTCATACTGGGACGGATCACTATAGGGGTTTCCATTTCACTCTCTTCAATTGCCACTTGTGTTTACATCGCAGAGATTGCTCCACAACACAGAAGAGGACTTCTTGTGTCACTGAATGAGCTGATGATCGTCATCGGCATTCTTTTTGCCTACATTTCAAATTACGCCTTTGCCAATGTTCTCCAGGGCTGGAAGTACATGTTCAGCCTTGTTATTCCCTTGGGAGTTTTGCAAGCGATTGCTATGTACTTTCTTCCTCCAAGTCCCCGGTTTCTAGTAATGAAAGGACACGAGGAAGCTGCTAGCAAGGTTCTCAGAAGGTTGAGAGCCATGTCAGAAACAACAGAAGAACTCACTCTGATAAAATCTTCCCTGAAAGATGAGTATCAGTATAGTTTTTGGGATCTGTTTCGTTCCAAGGACAACATGAGGACTCGAGTCATGATAGGTTTAACACTGGTGTTTTTTGTACAAATCACTGGCCTAATAAAACAGTATCCTTTTGCTCTTGTGCCCTATGTTCTGTTCCCCTTCCTCCTTACTTAGAGCAAGTAATGGCTTTGTAGGTTCCCTACCTGCATCCATTTCTCCCTTCCTTCTTTCTGACACAACCTGGGCTGCGTTAAGGTACTCACACCCCCTCCCCAACACCTGCCTGGGCGTCAGCAAATCCAGCTGTGCCCCAGTGGTGGCCAAGGAGCCCTGAGGACAGGCTTCCTGGAGGTTATGCTTCAATTTCCCCCAGGTTACATGGCGGAAAGGCTGTGGCACTTCCTGGGGCTCCTGGCCTCTTTGTCCTGCCCTCAAGGGCTTGCCTTTACAGACCTGCAGAGGGACCACAAGAACCGGGCTGTCTGAATTTTTAGCCAATGCCAAAGCAGGAACGAAGCGGTGTTCTTGTTTATTCAAGCGTGCTTATCTTGCTAGCTGTCTGCTGCAAATTAAAAACAACGTCACAAGCAGAAGGAAATGACTGCCTCCTCTCTCCTCCCAAAAATGAGAGAAAAAGAATTTCCCCCTCTATATCTAGCCATGTTTTTGTTAGTGTAGTATTTGACTGTACTTAGGTGTGTTTATGCTCAGTGCTCTAAGGACACTAAAACTTACACCAAGTTAAGTCTCCATGAAGACGTGAAGTGTTTAACAGCTCAGAAGTGACCTCAGTGTGTCTCCTCTCTGCTTGCAGGTTGCGGCGTGCTTGCTGCCCTGTCGTCTGTCACTGCTGCTGTCAGTGGCCTCCTGGTGGGTTATGAACTTGGGCTCATCTCTGGGGCTCTTCTGCAGATGAGAACCGTATTAGCTCTGACCTGCCACGAGCAGGAAATGGTTGTGAGCTCCCTCCTCATTGGGGCCTTACTCGCCTCTCTCACGGGAGGGGTCCTGATTGACAGGTATGGAAGGAGGGCCACCATCATCCTGTCATCCTGCCTACTTGGACTCGGAAGCGTAGTCGTGATACTCAGTTTATCTTACCCGGTTCTCATACTGGGACGGATCACTATAGGGGTTTCCATTTCACTCTCTTCAATTGCCACTTGTGTTTACATCGCAGAGATTGCTCCACAACACAGAAGAGGACTTCTTGTGTCACTGAATGAGCTGATGATCGTCATCGGCATTCTTTTTGCCTACATTTCAAATTACGCCTTTGCCAATGTTCTCCAGGGCTGGAAGTACATGTTCAGCCTTGTTATTCCCTTGGGAGTTTTGCAAGCGATTGCTATGTACTTTCTTCCTCCAAGTCCCCGGTTTCTAGTAATGAAAGGACACGAGGAAGCTGCTAGCAAGGTTCTCAGAAGGTTGAGAGCCATGTCAGAAACAACAGAAGAACTCACTCTGATAAAATCTTCCCTGAAAGATGAGTATCAGTATAGTTTTTGGGATCTGTTTCGTTCCAAGGACAACATGAGGACTCGAGTCATGATAGGTTTAACACTGGTGTTTTTTGTACAAATCACTGGCCAGCCAAACATACTGTTCTATGCATCAACTGTTCTGAAGTCTGTTGGCTTCCAAAGCAATGAGGCAGCCAGCCTCGCCTCCACAGGGGTTGGGGTTGTTAAGGTCATCAGCACCATCCCAGCCACTCTCCTTGTAGACCACGTTGGGAGCAAAACCTTCCTCTGCGTTGGCTCCTCTGTGATGGCAGCTTCATTGTTGACCATGGGCATTGTGAATCTCAACATCCATGTGAACTTCACCAGTATCTGCAGAAGCCATAGTCCTATCAACCAGTCTTTGGATGAGTCTGTGCTCTATGGACCAAGGAACCTGTCAGACAGCAGTGACACTTTTCAAGAGCACTTTAAGGGCATCACATCCCACAGCAGGAGTTCACTAATGCCCACAAGATACGATGTGGATAAGAGAGGGGAGATGACCTTGGCATCCCTACCAAATGCTGGACTGAGCCAAGCTGAATACCACGTGGTCACAGACTCTGCAGACGTCCCCACGACTTTGAAATGGCTCTCCTTAGCCAGCTTGCTTCTATATGTTGCTGCTTTTTCGATTGGTCTAGGACCAAGTAAGTATTTTATTTTTTTTATTCCTTCCCTTTCTCCCCTTATGAATGTGAATGTATTGCTTTTGATCAGTCAGAGCATCCAACTGCTATGGTACCTCATATGCAGAACTACCAGAAGCAAGACAGAGATAATAGTGGGTCCCCTGATGTTTCCACTAATGTGGAAAGCATGCTTACCTTGTACCTGCTTTGTGAAATGTGCAGGGCTAGTACTCAACTGGAGGATTAGTTTCCCATTGTCTGTTACATGAAGGTACTTCAACATCAATTGATGAGGGATGAACCAGATCTTGAAAGATATTGCCCAAGAGAATGTGTTGTTTTAAGCAAGCAAAGTTTATTAGTATAGCATTTCCCTTCATATCATTCCTGAGTTTCTCTGTAAGTGGAAAGAAAAGAAATCTAGCATTTATATTCTCTTACAGACACAATAGTGGATCCATTCCAGTAATAATGAAGAAGTAACACTGAATAAGTATGTGGTGAGGATGCATTATTTATTTAAGCATATTTTATCCCTGGCATAACCTCCCTGGGCACTTTATTAAGTAGGAGAAAGGGAGCCAAGTTACTCCCATTCAACACAATATAGACAATTTACTAGAAGATAGCTACAAAGTTGTCCTACTTTACGTAGTCAGTCTACTCCAATGATGAAGTTAAACATATCTCTGGAGCAAACTCTCTAGAATTTGCTAGAAGGTTGTTGTTGTGTGCAAATCTCCAGTCTTTTAGCTTCACATCAGAAAGTCCAAACGTCTCTTTAGGGAGGTTGTGAAAGGTCTTCTGTAAAGCTTATTGGAAAATAAAATGCTTAAAAATTAAGGGCAGTATCTTTCTACCACCCTCCTCTCCTACCCCTCTCCTCTCTCTCTTTCTCCCCTCCCTTCCTTGTTCTTTCTTTCTCCCTCCCTCCTTCTCTCTTAAAGAGCTGGTATTGAAAGTTTTGTTTATAAGGATCAAAGACCAAACAAATTTGTTCAAATAAAGAGAGGTGTTGGAGGTTAGGAACAGTAAGAAGACACAGGCTATGTTGAAGGAAAAGGGCTCTTGTGGACAAATGTAGGTTTCTGGTGCCAGGAAATGGACAGCATTTCTGAAAAGAAAGGCCCTTTAGGGCTTGTTTAGTGATCCCCTGATATCTCATTAACTCTTCATTCAAGTGATATGTATCAAGTGACTAGTTTTTTAATAACCAAGAATGCTAAATGCTGGGGAAACAGTAATGAGTGATACAGATGTTGTCCTTGTCTTCCAAGAGAGAATACTCGAATGGACTGAGCTATAGCCCCACATCTGCTTTTATCTGATCAGCCACCAGCAGGTCTGGCCTGCTTCATCTCAGTTAGTTAATAACTGGACTTGCACATGGATGGCATTGGCCTCTTTTGCCTACTCCCACTTCTACGTGAGATCAGACTCTAGATATTGATTCTTTAAAATTCCAAAGTGAGAGAGGGAATCTTACTGACTCTGATCTTTGCTGTGCCAAGTCATAGGTGGTGGTTCAAGCCTATCTCCAGGCTTATCAGCTTTGGCAAGATTGGGCCACATGGTCCAATAGATGGATGAGCAGAAGCTGGCGCTTCCTCTGGTAGAGTAAATAGATTTCCCCATAGGGACTAGGTATGGACAGATAAACTCTACAATAACATCAGCCTATGATCTATCTGACTTGTTTCTGTACCCTGATACTCTTTTTTAAGGCTTAACAATGATAAATATCATTAATGAACAGTTTCCTAGAAACAGATTTCTACCATTATTTCAGGATTCAATTATCCTGGGCGTGTACCTGTAAGACAGTTGTCATGGGCAGTTTGGGCTGCTATAACAAATTACCAAGACTTGGTGGCTTTGACAATAAAGTTTGATTTCTCAGTCTAGAGGCTGGGAAGTCCTAGAGGAGGGTGCTGGTGGACTCAGGTGTTGACGAGGTGTTCTTCCCAGTTTCCAGATGGCCACCTTCTTACATGTCCTCACCTGACAGAGGGCGAGAAAGAGACAGAGAGAGAGAACTAGCTAGCTCTTCTATGTGTCTTCTTATGCAGGCACTAACCCCATCATGGGGCTTCATCCTCAGGACCTAATCATCTCCCAAAAGCCCCACCTCCCAATACCATCACATTGGGAATTAAGGTTTAAATGTATGAATTTTACGGGGGACCCAAACATGCAGTCTATAGTACTTATGTGGCTACTCTGATACATAAAGCTGATGAAATTTCAGCAAGTATCTTACATTTGTATTTTCAGAAACTCTTCAAAGTCTATCCAGAGTGCAAGGTATGCATGCTATCTTGTATCAAGGAACAACTTAACCTTGTTGGTGAACTTTTCTATATTAATAAGTACAGTAAGTTTTGCTCATTTGATAAACTTCAAGTGGTATTTATTGTTCCATTGATTTCTGTAAGTCCGGGGAGAGGAAATCCTGGGGCAAAATACCTTTAAAAACCGAAATCAATCAAAGGGAGAAATAAAGTTTAAAACCCGTTTATTGGTTACAAACTGCAGTCCAGGGCTGTCTCTCTCCTCTGGTCCTGAAGAAGCCAGCCAGCCAGCCCATCCCTTTAAACTCTCAGGTTCAGAAACGCCCTCCATTGCCCAGGTAATTATCCATTGACATGGAGATGAACTTCTCTCCACTCCTGAGGATATGCAAATGAACTAAAGCCAAGCGAGATACTCTGGAAAAATTACAATTTTACCCACATTTCCTTTGCCAGTGTTTTTTCCTTCACATTTTCATATAAAACTAAAAATATTTACTCTTTATATCAATTTTCTTGATCCAATCTTTTGAAATGTCAAGCATCAACTAAGAACCTAAGAAAAGGTTAACTAAAAGAAAAGGATGTCCTCTTTGCTCTAATTCAGAGAACATTTCAGGTTGGCAGAGATTATGACATGGCACATGTTATGATAGACATTGATTTTAAACTTCCAG